GGCAGACCTCTCCTGACCCGCCCGCTGCTCCCCTCAGCAGTGTACTTCGTGGATCTGCCTGTTCTGCTCCCTGCTCTGTCTCTGGTGAATCCTCTTACCCTCCGCATCTCTGGCCTGTACCCCAGTTCTGTACGAATAAATAAATCTTTAAAAAAAAAAATTACTCTGTTGCCCAAAACTTAAGTTCTCTCTCTGACTTAAGAATTAGGCAATGTTTCTTTATATATGTATTAAGTCAGTTCTTTGCTCATCTAGAAAATAAAAAAATACATTGTTCATGTTTTATCTCCTCAACACATGTTAAAGATAGTACCTATCTTCATCAAAGATTTTGGAAAGAAAAATTTGTTTCCTTATCCTCTTCTTAGAGTCCTATCATGGCTCCTCTTTGAGGAAAAAGTAATTGCAAAGTAAATCTAAATAAACCTAACCAAGAGCAAGAGTTAGAAATAAAGAAGAGAACATTCTTTTGCTTGATCAGAATAGAAAGTGGGAAAGATTATTTCCAAGCTGCCTGTCAATTTATATTTAGATGAGTGAAGCTGCATCTGTCAGAGCTGCAAGGGCATTATGTTACCTGGGGCCCCTGCCCCTCTTCCACAATTCACTGAATGTGACTTGCTAGGTCATGTTTTTAGGACAGGCAGATGAGTGCGAACAGAGGGATTCTGTAAGCCTCTGTTTTTGGACAAATCCTCAGCAAGGTAGAAGACCTTGAGTAGTTTACACATCAAAACTCCCCATTAAGGCATTTTCCTCACTATTGAGAACTTTTGAATTCCTGAGTGAGATTGATATACGGACCACTCTTAAAATCTATGTGAATACAAAGCTGCTTTTAGTCCATAGCTAGTCCGGAACTTTGTAAGAATTAGATATAATATTTGTATCATCATTTTTATAATAACAAATATCAGATCAGTATAGTAATTCTGAGAAATTCAGTATTAACACTACCACCAATAACTACCAACATAATCCACTGACTTTTCTTTTGATATTTATTGTATACATAAACATATTATCAGGATCATAGTATATGTGAAGTTTAAGATCTTAACTTTTTGCTTATCCCTGCTTCACATTTTGCATGTATAAGTATTACTCTACTTGTTCTCATATGCCTGTTTATGACTGCATAATATTCCTTCACATAGACTGATCATAATTTTTTTGAAGATTTATTTATTTATGCACACAAGAGT